CCATGGCTCACAATAGAATCAAATAAGTAATCTCTTTAAGAAAACAAAAAATCCTACTCAATATGGGCTCTCTGCATAACTCAGAGATAAGGGAAATAATTTAAAATAGCATCTATCAAGTGACTTTGATGTAAAGATGTCTTGGCTGAGCTATCAGGTATTTGCTATCCCCAAAGGCAGGTAAGGTTAATGTAGATACAGGTGATTAGTGCAGTCTACTAGTAAGACAGCTTTAGATTTAGGATCAGCACAGGACTGCTAACAACAAGGTCGGCAGTTCAAACCCATCAGTTGCTCCTCAGAAACCCTATACAACTATGAGTTGGAACCAACTCAACAGCACTTCACAACAACAATGTGAAAAAAACAGTTGTTACATGACACTGACATTGTAAGAAGTAAGTGGAGTTCAGTGTGGGTTTTTGTTTAGATTTGTTATTAAAATAATCTAATCACTGAGTCCCCATCATGGTCGTCACGGCTCTGTCAATTTCACAGCCCTTTAGACAGTCTAAAGTGATTACGAACTAGGTTATTTATCTTTCAGTTTTCTGGGAAGAACCTAAAGATAATTAACGTTTTCCCACTAATGATTTTGATTCCTCATTAATACCTGTTGAGTTGATTCTGACTCTGGCTAGCAGTCTAGCACTTAACCATTTTACCACCCAGATTTTGGTTTATGGGCTAACTTTACATTTATGTAGTCATCTGACTTATTTTGGGGTGGAGGTCACTGTGTAAAATTTACCAGTGCTATCAGCACTATCTACCACTCATCTTTCAGTTTGTCGTACTGTGGTGGCTTATGAGTTGCTGTGATTCTGAAAGCTATGCCACCAGTATTTTAAATACCAGTAGGGTAACCCATGGTGGACAGGTTTCAGATGAGCTTCCAGATGAAGACAGACTAGGAAGAATGAGTGACAAACTACTTCCGAATATTTAGTTACTGAAAACCTTATGAATAGCAGAGAAACACTGTTAGATATAGTGCCAGAAAATGAGATCCTCAGGTTATAAGGCACTCAATATGCAACTGGGGAAGAGCTGCCTCCTCAAAGTAAAGTTGACCGTGATGACGTGAATGGAGTAAAGCTCATGGGAGAAAAGCCCAGGACCTTCATTTGCTGATGGGGCACAATTCAAAATGAAGAGAAACCGCTGTAAACACTGAAAATCGGAACATAGAATGTACGAAGTATGAATCTGGGAAAATTGAAAGTTTTCAGAAATGAAATGGAACACAGAAATATGGATATCTTAGGTGTTAGTGAGCTGAAATGGACTGGTATTGGCCTATTTGAATCTGACAACCACATGGTTTACTATGCTGAGAATGATAAATTGAAGAGGAATGGTATTGTATTCATTGTCAAAAAGAACATATCCAGATCAGTCATCAGGTGCAACGCTGTCTGTGACAGGATAATATCCACGCACCTACAAGGAAGCCAGTGGGGGTAATACCACTATTATTCAAATTTATGCACCAACCACTAAAGCCAGTCAGATGGAATATATAGAAATTAAATTGACTAAAACCGTGGAAAGAGATGATGGAAAAGCTCCATATCATCAGTGAAGACAAGGCTGGGGCAGACCATCAATTGCTAATATGCAAATTCAAACTGAA